CTACCTAAAACTCCCCACCATCCACCGCCCATTGATTTCACCTGGCGCGCCGTCGCCCACTACCTGTTTTCTCCATACAGCAATCCGAAATTCAACAAACCCACCGTAAATTACAGCAACCAGAAATTGACCCATTGCCTTTCCGACCCGGAACACCCACTCACGACCATCGCCTCCGCTCGTGACATCCATGGACGCCGACCGCCGGCCTCCAGTGCTGCAGTTTCCCTTCGTGCAGGAGTCTTTTGTTCTTAATTTACTTTGGATCGGGATCTTAGTTGGGCAGTGTATTAATATTGGGCCTTATGTAATTTTAAAAAAAATGGAAAAAAAAAAAAGAAAAAAAAAGAAACGTCTTTTCTATCATTTACAGGTACATCTTTTATTCTAGTTAATCCGACTTGGCTACTTCGACGAACGAAAGGGAAGTTCTTGTTTTTATTTATTATTGGTTTATATTGTTGTTTTGTTTAAAATCGCATCAATTAAATTTTTGTGCTGCTGCTGATCTAGTTTTTACCTAAACTCAAGTAATTGAATCCATTAACCTCGTTAAATCTCACTTTTTACCTTGCTTATTTTACGTGATTAGGGTTTGACTAGTATTTAACCCTTGCTTTGCTATTTTACATATACCAGCAGTATTAGCTTGTTATATTTGGATTTTAATCCCAAAATTTAAATTTACAAAAAAATAAAAAAATAAAAAAAAAGCTGTTTTTGTTCATTGATCTCTCTATTGCATGTCATTAAGCTGCTATTACAGTGCATGTAGTTACATATTGGTCGTCTTGTCACTTCTAGCTCCAGTACCTTAAACATGAACCCCTTACAATTCGATTCACTCACCCGACAAATAACGGCTATTCAAACCCAAATGACCGCTACTCTTGAAGAGAGTAAGACCTTGTCTGCTAGTTTGAAAAAATTTAAACAAACCCCTCATTCAATTGATGTTGATAATTCTAAAGTGTCCCATAATAGACAACATCGTCGACAAGGTAACCAAAAATACTTTCGAACCGATCGTAAGGATAGAGATAGGAATAGGGACCAGATTCGTGAGCGAGAACGAGATAATTTTAAAATTCTTACTCGATGGAATGCCCTTAAACAAGGAAATCAATTAGTGATTGATTATATCGCGCAATTTGAGGAATTTCGAACCAAATATCGTTTAATTGAGGATGAGAGCACGACTTTGAGTAGGTTTAGCCAAGGTCTGAGAGATGATCTTAAGCGCGAGCTTTTCCTTCGAGGTGTCACTACTCTTGATCACGCTTACTCTTTAGTTCGAGACTATGAGTTGATTATTAGTACTCCATATGAAAAGCGTGGCCATTGTCGTTCACCCATCTCATTAGCGTCGCCTCATCATAAGTCTATCATAAAACCGTCTCCGTCTAATATTCCTCCTATTTGAAAAAATAATTTTAAAGGTCATGAAAGTCCAAGATCTTCTTCTCCATGTAGAAAGCATATTGACAATCATCTTTCGGTGTCATTAGCTCCACTTCCTCCCGTTAAGTTCCTTCTAGGACCTCCCCCGTCTGATGTTCCTCCAATTTTGAAAAATAAGGGTAAAATTTTTTATAATCATCATTTGGCTTCATTGGCTCCACCTCCTCTCATTAAGTCCCTTCTAGGACCTCCCCCTTCTAATGGTTCTCCAATCTTGGAAAATCAGGGTAGAATTTTTGAAACTCCAAGGTCTTCTTCTCACTTCTTGTGCGTCAACTGTAAAGACTTTGGTCACATTTCTTCTAAATGTCCTAATCGAACCTTAGTCATGGAAGAACGAAAGAATGTAATAGAGGAGTCGTTAGAAGATCTAGTCCATGAACCTAAACTTGAAGATTTTGATGACTTGGATGATAGTGAGGACACTTCCTTAGATGGAATCCAGACTCTTCTCGAGACTTTGGATACTATACCCCTTATCTTCGACAATTCTCAATCATATGTTATATGTCATACCCTTACCCAAGTTAAAGAGCTTGATGATGTCACCAGTCACCCTTGAAAAATTCAGTCGCCTGTGGTTAACACTAAGGCAAAATTATCCACCACTGACCAACCTCAAATAATGGTCAAAACAAAAGTGCTAACCAAAATCCTGACAATTTATTAGTCTCTAGTCCAGAAAAATCTTGAGAATTGGGACTTGATCCTTCCAACTGTTCAAATTGCATATAAAGATCCTGTGAATTGGTCTTTAGGTCTAAAACCCTTTGAAGTTATTCTTGGTTGTGAACCTTTGAAACCTCTAGACCTTATTCCCATGCACCCACATGCTTATGTGTCTATGTCAATTGAGGTAGTTGTTTCACATTTGCATAGCTTACATATTGAGATCAATAATCAATTTGAAGCAAATAAAGCATTATATAAACCTCAAGTTGATTGGCATAAACAACACTTTGAATTTAATATTGGGGATTATATTATATTGCAAGCTTGTAATGCTGGTCTTTTTAAAATTTCAAAGCATGTTGGTCAAAATGCCTATGTCAATGATCTTTTATCACATTATGACCATCACCTTATTTTATTTGTTAAGGATTTCGATACTTACAATGACTATTTTAACACTTTTGTCGATCCTTTTCTATCTGTACCTGAGAACTCCCACACCGAATCTTTTGCTATATCTATTCGAATAGCACCTGTCGCAGCACACAAAAATAAAATTGATGTTTTTTTGAATGAACAGCTTGTGTTGACCAATGATAGAGAGATTCAATGCTTCCTTGTTCTTTGGATAGATCGACTTGATTCTGACGATACATGGATTCCCAAAGAGAGATTTCAGCGACGTGAGCCAAATTCATTGGAACTTTATAAGAGTCAACAAAATCCTCATTCGCCTAAGTTATCTTGGTCAGCTCATGTTTTTGCGGGTAATTTGCAATCGGCGTCGTCATCATTCATGGAATTTCGATATTTGGTTTGTCAGAAAGATCGTCTCCCATGGCATGACTTGGAGCCTTTAGCATCAGATTCATTGCAACATTTTGATTTATCCACTCGACGGGGTCAAGTTTTTCTCCCACCCCCGGAGAGTTGATGCGGACATCCATTTATTATTTATTTTCTTCCATTTACTATTTATTTTCTATTTGGACTATTAGTTATATTCTATTTGGATTATTATTTATATTTCTGTTATTGGGCTTATTTAGCGGGTTTGGCCCAAGCCCTTCTCTTTAGGATTTTTGTTTTGTTATTTATTTCTATTTTGTTGCGTATTTGAGACAGTTGATGAATTGATGAATTAAAGAATAGAATGCTTGGGTTGTTGCCTATGGCTTCCTCCTTCTCCCATTTCCCCTGATTTCTACTTCTACTCTGGTTTTCTTCCCCCTTTCTCTTCGGCCCATTCCCCCTTCTTGCTGCCTTCTTCTTCTTCTCGCTGGAATTCTACTTGCTAGTTGTGTTTTTTTGCTATTTCTAATTATTCTGCAGGAATCATCCCTCATCCTGCATCGAGATGCCATTGAGAAATGCAAGAAATGGCATGCCATGAAACGTTGATATTGAGAATGCCTAAGAACACACAAATTGTGATTTCCTGCTTTTTCCTAGGAAATGGGTTTCTAAAAAATAGCTCTCACATGGATTAGGTTTTGCATGTTTGTGTTAAGATTTTCAACAATGGAAAATGGTACTCCTGTGACTTTAATAGCTCTAGAGGCTCAAGGCAGATAAATTCTTTATCCGCATTCTTTACTTGTTGGTTATGGGGTGCTTATGTTAGTTTGGTAAAGATGGATGCAGAGACGGTTGGTGATGAAGGGTTTAATTGTTTCTAATAGGTAAGGGATATCTAGATGCTTTATTTTTTAAGATGTGAATCATATGCTTTATTTAATGAACATCAATTTATTATACCACTACTATAGGAATAATTGTGAAACTTGAGTCTTCATGACAAATAATTTTATCAACTTTAAATATCATAGCCACGTGAAGTCTTTTCAGCTAATTCCAATTTGACACACCTACGGCATCTTGAAGCGTGATTGTTCACTTAAAACACTAACGTTCTTCATGACAAATAATTTTATCAACTTTTTAAAAATATCAGAGCCACATGAAGCCTTTTCAGCTAGTTTCAATTTGACACACCTACGGCATCTTGAAACGTGATTGTTCACTTAAAACACTAATGTTCATGACAAATAATTTTATCAACCTTTTAAAAATATCATAGCCACATGAAGTCTTCAGCTAGTTTTTCCAATTAGACACACCTACGATTCTCTTTCGGATAGGCCCTGAAAGGAGAAGGAAGGCTGGAATGCCAACAGGCATCTATTATTGAATTCACCCGACCCGAGAGGCTTCCAGCACCCATACTTTGCATAACGTAATGGGTTGAGTATTATACATGGGAAAGCCACTAGTTTTTTATAGTGGAACCTCCTTTGATTTGGGACTTTTTGACCAATCAGCCACACAACATGAAATGATTCTCTCACTTTTTTACTTTAATGAGTAAAAACTTATATAATTTCCTGCAAATAATGTGATAAGGATCAAATACCACAAGCAATTACATGGGGTAATTGTAGCTATATTAGTAGAATTTGCAACATTTCATTTGGAACCGAAAAGGTAATGGAGGACAAATCTATCTGAATAAAGAGATTTTACGGTTTGAAATGAACAATTTTAGAAATAATAATTTGAGGATTAAATGTGAGTAACCTCTGCTCGGCCACATATTTTACGTATTAAAACTACATCTGATGGCCAATAGTTTTATATAAACCTAGATTTCAAATGCCAGCTTCTTAATTTCACATTTATCCATCTAAAGGAGAACAAAATTTTGGAAACAGGAAGAGCACATAGCTCCTCTAGTTTGTTTAGATCAGCTCAGTTGTCACTGAGCTTTGTTATAAGATACTCTATGCAGTATACCCTTTAAACTCTTTTATGCTTTGAGTCTGTTAATCTCAAATCCTATACTACAGCAATGTGACTTTAGGGGTTTTAATTAAATTCTGACTATTCATATAGATGTCCCCTCAATCATACACCTAAATTTCAGGATTGTGGGCATAGTCCATCTAGAAGAGAAATGTAAATTGGATATATATGGTACGGGACAATTTAGGCATATAAACGGGAGATAACTAAAAGATAAAAAATCTAATAAATCTGAAAATTACCATTTCTTAGATACTCAGGAGGTGTATATGCAAGATTTGTGCTGTAACTTTTACCATCCCTGCTATTTTTCATCAATCCAAAGCAGGAAAGCCGTGGATCACCATTCTGCCAAAAGCATCATCATACATACATTTTACTCCAATTAAAAAATAAAGCTCATAGATAAGATACTAGCATGGGGGAAGAAAAGAAGAGCATTGCAAGAAAAAAGCATATCATCAAGCTCAAGAATCAGATATTAATTAACCTCATCAAAGAGAACCCTATAGGCATTCAAGTCATGGTACAGTGGTCGACCTTCATTGCTGCAATAATCTAATGCTTCAGCTATATACAAAGCCACTCTTAAACGCATGGCCCACTCAGGGGTTTGATTCTCCCCTGTGAAAGGAAGAGAAAGATAATTTAACTAACGCATTAAATGACCAAGATAGAACATTGTGACGTTTAAAACACAATTTTTTTGCATGAAAGTACAAAGACAAATGTGAAGAGGCAACTTTATCAGGAATTGTGGAATTTCCCATCCCCGTGGGAAAGGATACACTACATAATGATGTCACAGAGAATGTAGCATATAGACAAATACCCCTTCAAATCCCACTATTTCGGCTTTGTAGGTAAATAAGGTAATAGAACCTCAAATTTCTAATGTTTTGGGTAACTTCACTACAAAGAAAAGATTGACGTTTCCCATTCTCAATTTCCCAATACACTGTTGCACATGATTCCAAACTATAACTGCATGATCCAAAATGTGTGTGCCTTCTGAAAAGAACAAGACCACAATCATATCCAAACAACACGTGGAAGATAGAACATGCTACAGACACTACTCTTCAAGATACGTTCTTTTTAATTTTTTGAAGCATCTTCTGGGCTATTAAAATGCTATCTCCATGCCTTGTGAGATTTTAAACAATTTATATGGAAAAGCTGGCCCCGGATTTGTAGGGCACTCCACACTTGAAGTGATAATTAAGTTCATATTTTACAAACAAGAAACTCCTTTCAACTGACTCCATAATTGGGAAAGAAAACATTTTTCCCTCAAAAGAAGAATTTGATTCCAGTTCAAAAGGAATTTAGATATTCAGTTAATATATGAAAGTCAAATAGCGTTCTCACCTGCACCAGCATCGCTGGATGATGCAGAACACTTATTTATAGAGAGAGTCAAACAGGCTTCTGCAACCCGATTATGTAACTACTGGCAATCCAGCTTACTTAGCGTCTAGTGATGCTCTCACATGACCCCCTCCCTCAACACACACACACTCTCGAAAAGATGCGAAAAACACAACTTTTAAAAAAATATTAACATTCTAAATTTCAGAAGCTAATTTCTGTATTCCTTTCGTAGATTAATCATTGGTTACAGATGTATGACAAGCATATAGTTGGGCAAGCATACAAAAGACATAAAAATTCATCCTATAAATTGATTTATAGATTAAAATTCAAATCAACTTATCACTTCACAAAGAAATGCCAGAAACTCATAGTAAACATAGCAACTGACTGCCATTTAAATTCTATAACCGAAAAAATGTCACAATAATATCAGTATTAACTAATTCACAATACATTGTCCCCGTTTGGCCCCCATTCTCTTTCTCATTCTTTTTCTCGCTCTTATTTTTAACCACACAACCTTCCATAAAATAATATTACACACAAATCAAAAACTTTACATTCTTTTACAACCACATATTTTTCAAAAAAATACTATTCCATCAATTAAAATTTGAAAAGAATGGGGCCAAAGGGTCTCATTATGTTGTTTAGGGAAGCTAAGATTATGAATAAGGAACTAATGATTGACCTAGCTTTGAAAATTGAAAGTAGCTGCATTTGCCAATATCTCCTAAAATACATCTAGATAAGTATGAAGGAGAAATGCTAAAATGCAATAAATGAATGATAAATTAAGCTGAAGGAAGAATAGAGAATACAGTGAAATAAATGCTTAGCAAGAGTCTCGTTAGGCATGAACTCCGCCACAAGCAGCCTCTCATCCCCATCACAACAATACCCTATCAAATTTGCCAGCCTCTTGTGCCTCAGTTTCCCCACTTCCTTTGCTTCCTCCTTTCAAGTACAAAACATGAATAAATTAAGTCAGTCTTCATTTTCCAGTAAAACATTTACATATGTGTATTTGTTTTTCAACTGAATCATATTATTCGTACAGCGAACTGTTTAGGATCGGGCCAGGCCATTTTGGTGAATTTTTTGACAGCGATCCAGCGGCGGTTCTGCAGACGGCCTTCATAGACGATATTAGGGGCCTTCTCTCCACTCTCAGAGACGATGTTGTCGGAGCTAAAGTTGTTGGTAGCAGCCTTCAGCTCCGCCAAAGTGAACTCCGCGAAACCCGACGAGCCTCCTCCGGCGACGTTAGCAGAGGAAGAATGGCGTTGGTGGCTGTTGTACGAATGATCCTTATCCAAGCGCGGCTTCCTCGAGAACAACGATTCGCAGCAGCCCATCACTAGGCCGAGTTAACTCAGTGAAGATCACCTATATTAACATTATTATTTTATTTTATTTTATGTCGGAGCTGCGTATCTAGAGTTACGATAATGTTGAGTGCCGTTATACTGAGGCTTTCTGCAGCATGTATGGATTTTTAGAGAGAGAAAAATGTAGTTTTTTAGTTTTCTTTTCAGCGAGTTAATTGTTACAATGGTCATTGAATTTAGATCAATGTTTTTGATTGCTCATTAAAATTTAAAATGTCAAATTCTGATCACTAAATTTATGTCAATATCTTAGATTGCTCACTGAAATTTAAAATATAGAGTTTTGATCACTGAATTTTGAAAAATATTGTACATTACTCACCGTAAACTCGATATTTTTCAAAATTCAACAGTAATGCTAATGAGTGACGTACGATATATTCCAAAATTCAATGGACAAAACTCGATATATTTTTTTAAAATTTCAGTGAACAATCGAAAATATGGATTTAAGTTCAGTGGCCAATCGAAAATATGAATCTAAGTTTAGTGATCAAAATTTAATATTTTAAACTTTAATGACCAATTAAAGATATAGGCCTAAGTTCAGTGACCATTGAAACAAATAACTCCTTTTCAGTTAGTCTCCATCAGCTCTAATATATTTCTATGATTTTCCAATTTTTTTTCCTGTAAGAATCTAATTCAATTCAGATTTCAGAACTGCCTGAAGTGAAGTGAACGGAAGGGAAGGGAAAGCAATTGCTAAACTGTCTACTTCGAAAAAAACTTATTTTTTTCACTTTCAAAAAATAAAATATCTAGAATAATTATTAGAAACTTTTTATTTGTACAGGGCTCCACGAAATATATGGATAAAAAAAAACAATAAATTATGGAATCATAGAATTTGTGGATAAAATGGCATTTGACACATTTAAATTATAATTTTATAATTTAAGCCTGTATTTGGGCTCCATTAAAATTATAATTCATTTTTTTCATTCTTATAAATCATACATTTTTAATAAAATAGTATTATATGTAAATTTAAAAATTTTCCATCATTTTTAACTATTAACTTTTTATAACTATTAATTATTCTTCTAAAATACATTTTTGTCCAAAATTCAATTCTAATGGAGCTCAAACAGCTTTGTCAAACATACACTAAAGCCTATTTAAGTCTATTTTAGAATAGTATTTTGATGAAGAATATATAGTTAAAAAATAAGAAAAGATTTTGAGTTTGTGTTTAATATTATTTTATTAAAAATATGTAATTGAAATAAGGTGCAGAAAAATATACTTTAAAAATAATGAAAACCAAACAAGGGCTAAACAAAAATTACTTAGAAATTATTTGAAACTTTAGCTCTTTTTATAAAGAGTAATGTCATTTATCATTATTGGTCTTAAGAACTAATATAAGTGATAACTTGTGATATTAAATAATAAATTTACTTAAATAAATGTCACTAATTCATTTAATTGAACTTATTAATTGTGACCATCTACACTGATGATCTAACAACGTACCTTTATTTTTTAATAAAGTGAGTATTTGAAAATTACCGTTTACACACTATTTTCAGTCATACTATTTTAAGGAAATTATTTAATTATTGATTTTTTTAATTATACATTTTGCAAAAATGCATGATTCTAAAAAAATTCTTTTCAAATGATCACTCTCACACACGAACATTTAGCCCTTGTTTTATACCCATTTTTCAAAAATTTATTTTTTAAATTTATTTTCAATCACATATTTTTACAATAAAATATTTTACAAGTGAACTAAAAAATTTTTCAATTATGATAGAAACTTGTTTGATTAATAAAAACTTTGTTTATGATAGAAACTTATTTATATGTTAGTATAATTTGAAGCTTGCTTAGTCGAAGTTAGAGAGACGACAGACCCACGTGAGCTTTATCGTTTATTCTTCCACGTGCCTTATTAGGACCACCACTTTTGAGTTTTATAACAGAAAATCACAATAACCTTTAATACTTATAATTTTGAGTGTATATATCATTATTACTTTATGAGTAATACGTTATCAAAAATAAAATTGATATACCTAAAATTTTCCTGTGAAAATTTCTATAGTTAATTGTAATTAATTTACTCAATTTAAGTTATAATAATATAAACTGATATGTTATTTGTAAAGGTTGTTCAAATAGTTTAAAATTTAATCATATAAATTTACTTATTTTGCTAAAAGAGATACTTATTTTCTATATATAGTATCTGAGACAAAATAATTACTTTTTAAGTGTGATTTAATATCAAACGACCAAAACGGATATAATGATATTATTTTGAAATGTTATAATTATATAATATTTTAAGGAGCTAATTTAGTTACAGATAAAATTTATTTGAATCGTAAAAAGTACATGTTTTATTGTAAATCTTTTTTTTTTCAGCTTATATATTTAAAAAAGTGTAAATTATTTATTATTAAATTCTTCAATAAATTTTTTGTTAAATTCCTACTAGTAATAGATTCAAAATTGTGCATGAATTCATTTGTTATTAAATATAACAAATTAAATTGCAACAAAGGGTAGAAAATTTCCTCTTTTTTCTTGAAAAGGAACATTTAGGCTTAGATTATAGGGAAACCCTTTTTGGGCAGGCTCAAGGTCAGGCCAAAAAACAGTGAACTTAGGTTTATATTTTTTATTGCTCACTGAAATTTAAAATGTAGAATTTTGACCACTGAACTTTGAAAATTGTTGTATATTACTCACCGCAAACTTAATATTTTTCAAAGTTCAACAGTTATGTTAGTAAGTAACGTACGGCATATTTTAAAGTTCAGTGGACAAAATTCGACATTTTAAATTTCAGTGAGCAATCGAAAACATGAATCTAAATTCATTGAGCAATTAAAGATATGAACCTAAGTTCAGTGATCAAAACTCAACATTTTAAATTTCAATGACCAATCAAAAATATGGACCTAAGTTCAGTAATCATTAGAACAATTAACTCCTTTTCAGTTAGTCTGCATCAGCTCAAATATTTCTATCATTTCAGTTTTTTTCCCGTAAGAATCTAATCCAATTCAGATTTCAGAAATGCGTAAAGGGAAGGGAAGGGAAACCAGTTGCTAAACTGTCTACTTCGAAAAAACTTATTTTTTTCACTTTCAAAAAATAAAATATCTAGAATAATTATTAGAAACTTTTTATTTATACAGGGACTCCACGAAATATATGGATAAAAAATAAACAATAAATTATGGGATCCTAGGATAAAATGGCATTTGACAAGTTTAAATTATAATTTTATAATTTAAGCCTGTATTTGGGCTCCATTAAAATTATAATTCTTTTTTTTATTCTTATAAATCAAACATTTTTTAATAAAATAGTATTATATGTAAATTTAAAATTTTTCCTTTTTTTTTAACTATTAATTATTCTTCTAAAATACATTTTCTCCAAAATTCAATTATAATGGAGCTCAAAGAGCTTTGTCAAACATACACTAAAGCCTATTTAAGTCTCATTTTTTGTCCAAAATGTATTTTAGAACAATATTTTGATGGAGAATATATGATTAAAAAATAAGGAAAGATTTTGAGTTTGCGTTTAATATTATTTTATTGAAAATATGTAATTGAAATAAGGTGGAGAAAAATGTACTTTTAAAATAATGAAAACCAAATAAGGGCTAAACAAAAATTTCTTAGAATTATTTGAAATTTTAGTCCTTTTTATAAAGAGTAGTGTCATTCAACATCATTAGTGTCAAGCACTAATATAGGTAATAATTGCGTAATATTAAATAATATATTTACTTAAATAAAATGTCACTAGTTCATTTAATTGAACTTATTAATTATGATCATCTAGATTGATAATCTAACAATATAGCTTTATTTTTTAATGAAGTGATTATTTGAAAATTACCCTTTTCACACTATTTTCAGTCATACTTTTTAAGGAAATTATTTAATTATTGATTTTTTAATTATACATTTTCCAAAAATGCATGATTCTAAAAAAAAAATCTTTTCAAATGATCACTCTCACACAAACACTTAGCCCTTGTTTTATACCCATTATACAAAAATTAATTTTTTAAATTAATTTTCAACCACATATTTTTTCAATCACATATTTTACACGTAAACTCAAAAAAATTTTCATACTTGCTTAATTATGATAGAAACTTATTTAATTAATAAAAACTTTGTTTATGATAGAAACTTATTTATATGTTAGTATAATTTGAGCCCCGAGGCATAGTCCAATGGTACAAAAGATAGGAGTGAGATTATATCATACCTTCTTGATAGTCCCAATGTGAGGGTTCGATTTTTGAGACATGAAATTTGATTCTTTGTAGACGCAGTGTACAGACAGTTCTTGTTTTCTAGTCTGTTGGGGCACATCTCGAAATTTACCTCCCTCACAAAGCTCTAAGAATGAGACGATGGAAATTCTTAAGGTTACGATTCGACCTTTATAATTTGAAGCTTGCTTAGCCAAGTTAGATACGCAAACATAATTTCACGTACGGCTAAATATGACTTTTGTGGAAAACGACGCAGTCGAAGTTACAGAGAAGACAGACCCACGTGAGCTTTATCGTTTATCCTTCCACGTGCCTTATTAGGACCACCACTTTTGAGTTTTATAACAGAAAATCACACCAACCTCTAATACTTATAATTTTGAGTGTGTGTGTGTGTGTATATATATATATATATATCATTACTAGTTTTTGAGTCATACATTATCAAAAATAAAATTGATATACCTAAAAATTTTCCTGTGAAAATTTCTATAATTAATTGTAGTTAATTTACTCAAATTAAGTTATAACAATATAAACTGATATGTTATTTATAAAGGTTGTTCAAATAGTTTAAAATTTATAATCATATAAATTTACTTATTTTGTTAAAAGAGATACTTATTTTCTATATATAGTATCTGCGATTTAATATCAAATGATCAGAACGGATATAATGATATTATTTGAAATGTTATAATTATATAATATTTTAAGTAACTAATTTAGTTATAGATAAAATTTATTTGAATCATAAAAAGTACATGTTTTTATTGTAAATCTTTTTTTTTTCAGCTTATATATTTAAAAAGTGTAAATCATTTATTATTAAATTCTTCAATAATTTTTTTGTTAAATTCCTACTAGTAA